AGGAGGGGGAAGAAAAAAAGATGCTGGACAGTGAGACATCTTGACCCCATCTGCAGCTGGTTCATTCTGTCCACCTTCAACATCAGTAATAGCCTGAGGGTGGGATCCTGTCTAGTTATCCTTACATCCTCCAGCAACTGTAAAGAACAGATGCCTAAGTACAATAAAATTGGAGCATATTTTAATTCTCTTGGATACTAATATTAGTACTAAACACTTAACATCTGTATAATGAGTCAGAAACCACACAATAATTTGGTATTAGTAAATTGTTTATATGTTAATTTTTTCTAGAATGACAAATGGGCTCCTTATTATTGCCATGCTGCTCATAAATTATCATTAAGTATACACCCAGTACTTACTATGCGACCAGAGAAATGATTCCACAGCTGAAAGAACAAATTCCCTATGGTTCTTATTATTTTGGTATTGTCCAATCAATACTAGAAGCTGTTAATAATTTTAAAAAATATATTCACCCGGGGCTAGAGAGATGGTTCAGCAGTTAAGAGCACTGACTGCTCTTGCAGAGGACCCAGGTTCAATTCCCAGCATCCACATGGCAGCTACAAACCACCCTTAACTCCAGTTCCAGGGGAATCCGAAGCCCTCTTCTGATCTCCACGGCATTGCACGACACAGGTGCACTCACATACATGCAGGCAATACACTCATGCACATAAAATAAAAATAATAAAAATTCATCTATTTAGTTTTATTTTATTTCTATGTATGTTCTGCCTATAAGCAAGTAAGTGCACCATGTGCCTGTAATACCTGTGGAGGGCAGGGGACAGATCCCCTGGAACTGGAGTTTCAGATAGTTGTTAGCTACCACATGGGTGCTGGGAACTGAGCCAAGTCTTCTGCAAGAGCAGCCAGTGTTCTTAACTGGTAAGCCATCTCTCTAGCCCCTAGATGCTGTTAATATTTTCTCAATCACTTCTCCCTACCCCTTTAAACCTGCTCCATGAATGTAGGAATTATTGTACCTTTATTGTATTGATAGCAGTGCTTGGTACCTAATAAATATCTTTTTATTTATTTATTCATTCATTTACTTAATTTTTGAGTGTGAGAGTGTGTATAGTGTGTATATATACATACATACATATGTGTGTATGTGTGTGTGTGTGTGTGTGTGTGTGTGTGTGTGCAGGTGCATGCCCAGAAGAAGATGTCAAGGCCCAGTGTCCTGCTCTATCACTCTGACTGATTCCCTCAAGACAGGGTCTTTCGCTGAACCCAGAGTTAGGCTGGCAGCCAGCAAGCCCCAAAGATCTTCCTATCTCTATACCTCACAATGCTTGGGTTACAGTCATGCATGTGGCCATATCTGATATCTTTTTTAAATTATTTATTTAATAACCATATAATTAGAAGAAGCATTTCATTACAACAGCATTGACATATTCAATAACAATTTCCAGAGCTAAGATGCATCTCTTTCAAAATTGGCTGTAAATTTTTAGGTTTACAGTTGAATTGATACAGTTATACAATACTGTACTCCATATAACCCCTATAAGACATAAAATTAAATGAGGTTTTAAACTTTAAAAAAGATCTCCATTTCATTATTAAAATACAGTTTCATACAGAAAAATTCATTTTTAATACAATTGACACTACGATGCACATGTGTTTCTAATCTCTATATATCTGATTATTACTAGTCACAGTTGGTTACTTTCTGAGCTCCTTGGCATCTGAGCATGGATATAAAGTCATCAGGTAGATTTCAATGGTAATGTTTTTCACATCTACTAATTATTAAGGAGCAAAGTTTTATGCTTTGAAGAATTATGTTTTTTCTTTTTTATTTATTTATATACCCACTTCCCAGGTAGCACCCTCCTATAGCCTCCCTTCCCCCACTAGAGCCCTTTAAAAAAAAACATGGATTCTGGGGATTTGAACTCAGATCTTTTGGCTTGCACAGCAAGTGCTCTTACCCACTTTGTCATCTTTCGAGCCCCTTTTTATTTTCATTTTATTTTATTTTATTTTAGTGTGTGTGGCTAACAACTATTTTGTGAATGAACACCAGAGATACAAGACTGGCTAAAAAATGCAACATGCAATGATACTGAGGGATCTGTTTAGCATGTGATTTGCCAAAACAGTGCCGATTCAGGCAGAAGGATAGAACATGGTTATAGGAGACTTTCAGGGGGATTGTTCTGATATTATTCAAAACAGAATTGAGGGACTGGAGAGATGGCTTAGTGGTTAAGAACACTAGCTGCTCTTGCAGAAAACCCCAGTTTAGTTCTTAGCACCCATGTGGCAGCTAACAACCATCAGAAACTCCAGTTCCAGGGCAATCTGACACTGACTTCTAACCTTAGCAGGTACTGCACACATGTGGTGCACCTACATACATGCAGTCAAAACATTCATACACATAAAATTAAAAAATAAATCAGGAGGCTGGAGAGATGGCTCAGCAGTTGGGAGCACTGACTGTTCTTGCAGAGGACCAGGGTTTGATACCCAGCACCCATATGGCAGCTAAGAACTGTACAGTTCCAGGGGAATCTGACGTCCTCTTCTGGCCTCTGCAGCATTGCACCACATGGGTGCACTCACATACATGCAGGCAATACACTTGTACACATAAAATAAAAATAATAATAAATATTCAAATGAAATACAATAAATCAAATAATAACTGTATTGAGGAATGACATGTTGGGGTTTTATCCAGAATTGTCTTCCTTCCATCTTGCCTAGGTCCCCTATCTTATTTTATTGCCTTGTGATGTAACTTCCTGTAAAGACAGCTATTATACACTGAACTTAGCCAAGGGCAGTTACCGAGGAAATTCACTGTTAAGAAGTAAAACTTCTATAATAGCCAGCCCACCATGATTTAATCAATATAATTGGGTCTATGCCTCACTGTGAGACGACGTCTATGTTGGGCACATGCCTACTCATTTAATGCAATAGATTTCTCTCAGACCACTCTACTGACTTGTCTGGAAGTACTCTGCATTTGATCGGTGGGATTACTGTATTCCAATGATGATAATTCTTAGATCATTGGATTCCAGCTTGGTTTTAAGAAATAAAGCATGGTGGAAAGCATGGTGTCTGATGGCCTGACATGCTGGATGTTGAGGGTAGGTATATGGGTATGACAAATATTGGTAAGAGCAGGCACCCAGTGTGTGTAACTCCAGAGCCATGATTATTTTATCACATGACCCTGCTCTGTTTTGAGACTATCTTAGGAACTGGTAAAACTTAACATCTACACTACATCTTCAGCATCTTTAATTGTAGTTGGTTTCAGACATTTGTCTTCTATTAAGATGTTTATTTATTCATTTTTATTTCATGTTTATTAGTGTTTGGCCTGCATACAAACATACACACACACATACATACACACACACACAAACACACATCACATACACACACTGCCCACAGAAACCAGAAAAGAGTGTTGGATCCCCTGGAACTAGAGTTACAGGTGATTGTTAGCCACCATGTGGGTTCTAGGAACAGAATCCAGGTTTTCTGAAGGGCAGCCAGTGCTCTTAACCTATGAGCTGTCTCCCCAGACCTCGGCCTTATTTTTTTAAGCCGTATAAATTGTGTTCCTCCCCTACCTCTTGTTTACACATGATGTTAGCTATTGCAAAGTAAATTATGTAACTAAGCCTACAGCTACATGGCCTTCTTAGACATTTCTGTCTCCATAGGCAGAATATGAGGCACAGCTCATTATTTTGTAGACATGCTTCACTGATTCCAGACAAACACAAATTTTGCCATTTTCAATTTCCTTTTCTTGTTATCATCTTCTATTATCAGAAGTTGATTATGTCAACTAGGTAATGAAAATGAAGTTCAGATCTTTCTGTATCATAAAATGATTTAGAACAACCTTACTGAACCCAACTACAAATCTAAAGTATTTTAGGCCTTGAAATTCCTGAATCTAGTAGGCCTGACCACTGTCACACTGCCTCCTGAACACACGTGGCACTGATCCATTCTTGCCTCCCATGTGACTTCCTGTATCTACACATCACTTCTAATCTTCCATCATCTTTCTAGACTGTCATTCATGGCTTCTTATCAGATTCCTTGGAAATGAAACTTACACTGCATCTCTACATTTAACCTGTTTCATCCATCCTCGGGCCTGGGTCTTAATGCTCTCAATGGTCAGACTACTTGCAGCCATCTGGTCCTCCCTGGCTCCTGAAATGCTCTATCACCTTGCTCAGATGAATAACAGCTTGCTCAAGTTTCCCCTAGACCCTTAAGGCTCACTAAGAACTGACTTTATCCTCAAACCTAAGTTATTAATTATATTTTAAATCAATGTTTAATCTGGAATTCTAAAATTCTCTTATAGGCTCTGAACAGTTCTGATCACAGGCTAGCTAATATCCAGCTATGGCAAAGGTGATGGGTGATACTATTTACCACCGAGGTACCAGGTGGTCCAGAGATGGAGATGGAAAACATGACTTTACAAACCAATGTAAATGAAAAAATTCCATAGGCAGGACTTTCAGCCATACCAGGGCACAAAGGAGGCAGTAGAAGCTGAATAGAGGAAACACTACTTTGAATGCGCTCAGAGCTGGCTCCGGCACAAGGAGAACTTTCAACAGATCATTCCGTGGAACAACCTCAACCTCACTACAGCAACGCATCTGACAGAAGTCAGTGCCTGCTGGCTTGTTTTATTTCTTTTCTTTTCCTTTCTCCTCACTTTGCTTCTTTCAAACTGTCCAGCCCCTTGGCCTGCCTTCACCTTCGTGCAAGGACCAGCTTTTACTTACCATGCCCTTCAGAGTCAGATCTGCTAAGGGAGACCGGTTGCCATGGAAATCTGGCCAAACATGTAAATCAACAGTGAGGAAACCCACAGGCTGAGCCTTCTTAATCAGATCCAGGTGGCTGTTCAAATACTCATATATAGTCTGGCATCTGGAAGAGAAGTGGATTTTTATTTTAAAAGGGGATAGGGTTGAAGAGCAAATTGTTCTGCAGAAAGAAACCATTTGCACTTCCCTATCAGACCGGGAAAGCAAATGGGCTCCCATAGCTTCAGCAAAGCAGTACTTTGAGAGAAATTAGCCCACGGTACTCTCACATCATGCTGTTCCTCACCAAGCCAGGGAAGTATGCCCTGTGGGAAGGGGGAAAGGCTTAGAGTCAGGAGACCTGGTCTAAGACTGGCTTTACTCCTGGTAGGTATGTAACCATGAAACAGTTATTCAAAACTCTGGAACCACCCTCTTTTCATCTGTAGAAACATCACACAATCCTTGCCCAACTTACCTCATATGGTTAATGTGAAGATCAAAGACTGTGTATGCAAAGACACAATGTTCTGTAAACTGTACAATATGGTACATATGCAAAGGATTTATTAAAATTGGTCTCCCTAATTGCAATAATAATGATGAGATGACAAACAGAGACAAATACATGTTCCTGGATTCAATAGAGGAACTTACTATGAGAAATGAATGAATGTCATGAATGCAGTTTAGATCAAGAGTTAGAGATGTGATTCTTGGCCACAATCCACAAAACAGCATTGTGTAGGCTTTCCTTCTTTTTAAGCTTTAGTTGCTCCATGTGCAGAATGATGGAATCAAGACGACCCCATTATTTACCACATGTTCAGGTGAAAAGATGAAGAGCTTGGAGTGAAGATAGTGCTAGGTTAATATTGTGCTATTTGTCCTGGGTAGGTAACACGGTGTAGCCTCTCTGAACTATAATTTCCCCACTTATAAAGCAATATAATAATACTTACTTGGGCTAAGTCTAACTTCATGACAAAAAGACTCTGGTCAATTAGCCCTGCCCTCTGGAAAATACTGCCTTCCAAAGTTCTGAACCCAAAGAAGGTGGATCAAAGATTAGCATCTCTCCCATTTCCCTGGTGTCCTTGGAAGGACCACTTTAAAGCCTAAAAACATGGCCTGAGTAATCATGGAGATGAAGCATCATTGGGAATCAATGTCTAAGAGAGATTAGCATCTAGAAAACCTCTGACAGCATTTATGATTTGCATTTTTAAAATGCTTTAAAAGAGCCAGTGATTCCTAGTTCTGGTTTGGTAACTTCAGGAGTGTCCCCAAGGATTTCCATGTAGTTTCTGTAGGTTTTCTAACAGAACCAGAAAAAATGATTTCAAATTCTCTTTTCCTCCCTTTTTCAGTGAAATTATTTTTCAGTCCTGGGGGTCAAATCCCGTCTTGAGAATCATAAGCAAATGTTCTGTCACTGAGCTACAGTAACTTCAGTGTCTGTAAAAGTCTTTTTTTAGTAAAATTTTTATATGGAATTCCAATACAGAAAATGTAGTAAAACAAAACAGCTTGATATGTGTACAAGTGGGCATATAAACAGATGAATGTCTTGTGTAACATGAGCACAGCAGGGAGCACTACCTACCAGGAAGATCCTTGCTATAACCCTTCCTGGTCATCTGTACAGTCTCCCTTTGACCTTTAGTCTCATTAGGAGGGATACAATATTACTGGGAAAAGTTCAACAGCAACTGGGATAGCAGGTATCATCCTTGAGCATGCACCAGGCCTTCTACCATGGTCCAGGAAAGAGGCATCATAAGACCCTGTACAGAGGATATACTCAGCTGCAGAGTGATGGGGTGAAGTTCACTTGAAACCCTTCTGTGTGATGCTGAAGCCATGAGCTTGCTGCATCTCAAGGCAGAAAGTTCTCATCAAAGCCCCACCCTCAAATCCTGCTTTAGAATATTCTAATAGAGTTTGAAGCCTCCATAGAAGCTAAGACTGGAACACACACACATGCACGCATACACACACACACACACACACACACACACACAGAATATATGTATGATCACATCCTGGCTTTCTGCTTTCTATCTCTCAGCTCTCCCTGTTCCCTGCTTCTGGTCCAACAGGAACCACATTCACAGCAGAAGTCTCAAGAACAGTCTTTCTAGTCAGAAGCCAAGGGTCTGCACTAATTAGAGCCACTTTCCCCTTCAGAAGAGCATCACTGCTCTTACAGTAGAGGGATTTTCTTTTAAGAAGCATATGCCCATAAATCTTCTCATTCTGCCTTTCAAGGAATTTCAGAGCAGGGCATTTGGCTTCAGACATCTGAGTCAATAAGAACCTATAGGCCTAATTACTATTGATTCATCATTGTCTCATTTACTGAGAGTCTTTGCAAACAGTGAGATTCATTTAGCCTCTACATATACGGTCACTCACACACTAATGAGATCCCTGGGGGATGGGGCATATGCTTACCCCCTTTGACTCCTAACCTCCTTGCAGCTGTGTGTTTATTCATTGAATTCAGCCATTCCCCTACATACTTTTTCAATTACACATTACCATTTGTGCTATCTGAGCATATCGTTCAAAATGAAATGCACTTGGAAGACATTAAAATAACGAATGCACATCATTATTCACATAATTTTAACCTCGCATGATGCTGTTTTGGGTTCTGACTTTGTTTCATTTCATATATTTTATCAATTTCTTCTCAAATGGCCGTTTGCCCTCTTCCAAGTATATAGCAACTGTGAGCAAAACTGGATTCTTCTGCCTCCCACTCGTGAATGTCAGGTGCATATATCTGGTCTCAGCGGGAGAAGTTCTTACTGTCCAAGTCCCACTGGGGATGATGAAATATAGTTTCAACAATCACAAAGTGACTACATCACGTACCAGCTGAATGGCAGGTACACTATACCTCCTTTAGTCCAGGTCACTTTTTGCAATGGGAGCTAATAGTATATATTGTAAAGGATGCTAGGAAGATTGAATACAGAGCCCTGAGAACTATACAATGACAGGTGATCAACAAGTAGTTCCTCCTCCTTTGCTATCACAGGATTTTATTTCAGACTGTATTGTTTATAATCTTAAATGTAGACAGCATCCTGTTAATCTCTACTCTCCTTCTCCCCAGTCCAATTCATTCTTCAGAGTCATAGACTGTGCAGAGGTTTGATAACCATATTTGTAAGCCCAAAATAAGAATCCATAGTATGATAAAAAACATCTGTATCTTTGACGGGACTAAGAGAAAGTCATGGAAAAGAAGAATCCATGCTGTCAGTCGCTAGTTCCTTAGTTCTGAATTTACTGTCCCATTCTACTGATACTCATCCCCCAACTGCAATGGATCATTTTCTACATTTTTCTGTCACTCAACCTCTCCTCCATCTGTTCTCTTCCTTCAGTTCCCAGAAAACTCCATTCTTTTGATTCTTTTTCTACCTCCTTTCCAGTTGGATCTCTCCTGCTGCTTGCTCCTTATAAGTGAGCTCTTCCTGAGATCTGTCTTTGGCACCTGTTTACTCTTTATATTCCCTCACATCAGTATTTCTTTCATGGATCCAGTTACCATCTAGTGCTAATAACTTCCAAATGTATTTCTTTATCTCCTGCCCATTACTCTCTCATGCTATTCAGGTCATATAGTCAACCACCTACCACCTACCCACTGCTTCTTGATAATTCAAAGGCAACTCAACTAGAAATGTCTAATACAGCACATGCCACCTTTTCTCACATACTTGTTCTTCTTTCTTGGGTCCTTGGTTTGATCAAAGCCAGTATCATTTCAGCAGCTGCCTCAACAGTCACTTGGGAAGGCAATCAGAGTAGGCATCATTTCTGCCTCTCCCTCAGCTCCCCAACTTAACCTTTCTCCAGGACTTCATTCTTTTTAGTATCTCTGTAACTAGCAAACTTTTCAGTAGCTGAACTAGGCTACCTTCAAATGCCTACATTAGAGCTTTGGTTTCCAAATCTGTCTCCCCATTTGAATCCTTCCACCCTGACAGGTTTTCCATACTTTTTCCTGAGTGATTCTACAGTGTAGGAGACTATAACTCCCATCCCAACCTAAAACCTACAGTGACTGACTCCCTATTGTCTTCAGGACAAAGACAAACTTCCCTCCTGACACCAGAGGCTCTTCTTTTAACCAGCTTTCCATATTCTGGGTTGCACTGTGATACAGTTCCTTTTTTTTCCTTGCCTGGCTCTTGCACACTCCATGTTCCGAACACACAAGACTACATTTTATTCTTAAAATCTGCACATCCTAACCTCTGCCTATTCTGCATTCCCTTGCCCAGAATCCCTTTCTTGCCTTCCTTACCTGTCCCATGCCAAGCATCATTACAGATTCATCTTTGCTATCATCTTGAGACCTTTTCTGAGCCCAGGACCCTTTTGTTCTCTCGCTCCCATAGTACCCTATGGTGAACACAGCCTCTGAGCTCCCCCACCCCCCTGCTTCATTGCAGCTTTGTGACAGGAAAGGAGGAATGATCTTGGTGTCTTTGAGCGCCATCATCAGTGGACTTTTTAACTGTATCTGAGATTTGTCACTCTAGAGGCACAGTGAATTTTAAGAAATTGATCCTTAGTGGGATTAGGTCTGAGGAATCAGTGAGATACATCCTCAAAGGAATAGGAAAAATATCCAGGGCTTTAGGCAGGTTGAGAAAAAAAAAGTAAGTGGGCAGAACAAAGAGCTTTCTAAAGGATCTGAAGCCAGTGTACTCACAGTGAGATGGGCACCGCTCATAGTGCCCTCTGCTTAAGAAGTTTTGATCAGACTGTACACTCTGTTGAGTCTCTTCCAGTCAACTCAGCATGTTGGGGGACTCACAAGAGTCTCATTTTTCGCATTTTCTTAAATTTCTATTTGGTCTGGATCTCCTCATGATAATCTAGGTTATTCTTCACAGAGCGGCCAGGGTAACCCCTTTAAAAGGCAAGCCTCATCACATCTCTCTCCTTCTTATAAAGTAAAACAACTGTCGGTAACTCCAGTTCCAGGGGATCTGACAGTCTCTTCTGTCCTTTGTGGGCATTGCATGACATGGGTGCACTTAACTACATGCCTGCAATACACACATACACATAAAATAAAAACAATAATAAATAAAA